TTAGGTATAACAATGAATCAGCTAAACGGTGACTCCACTATTGTCAGGACAAAACATGGTACTCTTCAGGTCACCTGAAAGAAGATCCCTCCAAATCCCCTAATCAGCCCGAACAACACTATGTTTTGTCCTTACAATAGTGGAGAAAACCTGTCCTGATTTATTTTTACAGCTAAATTTGACATATCTTGAAATTCAAGGATCTCTGGCCAGGCACGCCATAAGTACGTGATATTTTAAATTCGTTAGTTTCTTGGTGAAAGTGATCATTTGACCCGAGTAAGGTCAATCAATTCGTTTATTAGTACAAATCCTTCCATTGCTTAGATTTTGAAAAATTTTGCTGAGTAGCATTCAGTAAAATCTTTATATCTTTTGAAGGGAAATAGCTATCGACCTCGGACTTTTGCTGATCGATAGAGGCAAGGCTAGGCTATCTACTCATTATATTATAGTTTAGAAAACGTATTATTTTCAAAGGGAATTAAGCTCATCTTTAAAACCAATGCTGTATCCCATAAGAAAAGCAACTGGCTTTTTTCGTGGACTTTATAAAAAGATGCAGTAATATCGACTCTAGATAGTGCTGAAAGCCCGAATCATTTCTCTCTTTTTGTTTTAAAGTTATACAAAAAATGCCCACGGCCATTTAACTCTGAAATGGACATTAGTAGTTTTGTTGTTGTTCGCAAGATATTCGTGCCCCCTATATATATATACCCTAGGTATGGCAACTTCTGGAAGCTTAGCGAATATTTTAGAGGATTAAAAAAACGACAAAAATTTCTTACGAACCTAATAAAAACGTTATTTGAGTTCTAACTCTTACTACTGGTTGAAATTGCCAATTACTTTTGGTGGAGTTTCTTTTGAGAAGGTATGAGTTACTTTTTCAATGATAGATGGATACTCCTTCCTGATTGATTGGACAGACAAACAGAACAATTTTTGTTTGGTAGATCCTTTCTTGCAGAAAGGAGAAAAAGTGTATTTTAATAATAGCTTTCACTAGTAGTAGGATTCACTACATTATCATTGGAGATTAATAATATATATGAATTTTTCATCCCCAATTACAAGTAGTCTAACTTCTTCTCACATATCGTACATTAATTTTCAGCGATTCATCGATGCTGTTTTTGATTTGCTTACACCGACAGTCAAATATTTCTCTGTAGTACATTCTTTCATCCAGAAAAAAACGGAATAATTTACATGTATGTTTATCTACACATAGATGCACACGTCTTCACCTATTTACAATACGGTGTTGATGATAAAGGCTTTCCTCTGATCTATGAAAATGACTATCCATTGAACAGTTGTGGATGTTGTGGCCCAAAATGTGCATGTGGAGTCCACTGTTGTGTAATTGCTTGATCAATGGAACGTGACTTTTGGCATTGAAATCATCGAGACATTTGTTTTGGTTTGATTTCACAAAAGAATTTTCGTAAAATCCTCTTGTAATAAACGACGAGACTAATCTTAGATAAATAAATTTTGAAAGTTTATGTCATGTTTTTTTTTGATTTCGACTATTTGTATTTTTCAGGTAAGGTTTTTGCTTGCTTCCTTTGAAACGCAACTTCTACTTTGTTTTTTTTAATCCTATACTATATCAATATGACGTTTATTTTTATCATCACTATCGTAAATGTCTTCGTTCTAACACGTTGTACTTTTCTTCTTCAGCTCATCTTTAATTCATTCAAACAATAGCGTATCTTCTTTTAATAAATTTCATGTTCTTTATCCTTACAATACTAACAGGTAATGTTGGTTTTGCAAAAATACAACAAAAATTCCTCGATTCTTATGCTACCATATTTTTGCTCTGTACTTTTTTTTGTGTAATGCATTTTTTACATGAAATCGTCGAAACATACTTGAAAAAATATGGCTGTAGGGTGTGGGTGTGGATATAGGTGAGGATATGGGTGTGGGTATGGGTGTGTGGGTGGGTGTGGGTGGTGGATGTAGGTGAGGATATGGGTGTGGGTATGGGTGTGTGTGGGGGGGGGGGTGGTGGTGGATGTGGGGTATGAGCGTTCTCTTTAGTGGCACTCACACCCACACCCACACCCACACCCACACCCATACCCACACCCACACCCACACCCACACCCACACCCACACCCACACCCTCAAGATACTCTTGTTTATATTTAAGATAAACTTGTTGAGTAAAACTATTTTGTTGTAAAAGTGTATGAGATGGATGTTGAAATTGAGGAATTTCCGCCGATGTTGAACCATAAAAATCATATGAATTTGAATTATTTCCATGCCAATAATGTGAATCATTGTATGATGATGAATATTGATCATAGAAACCTTGTTGTCGAGTTCTAAATAAGTAAAACTCATTTTATACTAATAATAATTGACATTCAATTGTTTGTATTAGGAACAAAAAATATAAGAAAATTCGTCAAAAAAATAAATAAAGCAACATAAGTTATTTTTTACTATATCCATTTACCTTACCCATATTGAACAATAAGAAAAATGATCTTATTATCTGTAATAAGTAAAGTGAAAGCAAAACATTTAGAAACGCAGTGTTTTTAACTTCTTTTCTTAACGATAATAACTACTATTCATTTCAAAATAAGGTGTGCTCTATTGTATTTTGAATAACTTTTGATAGAAATATCACAGAGACCTGCAGTTTTCACCATTCAAGGGAGAAGGTCCAAAGCAATCGAAATATATCAAAATTTCATTGGCTAATTGGATAAGTTCTTGGCGAGAATTTTGGAAGGTTCCGGATCTTCTCTCTTGAATGGTGGAAGCCGAAGATCTCTATGATGTTCCTATCAAAAGTTATTCAAAAAAAAACAATGGGGCACATTATATTTTGAAATGAGAAGTAGAACAAATCAAGGAATCATTAAAACATGTTTTTTAAATTGGCACCAGCTGTTTCTAACTTTCGTTGAGCTTTTTCATAATTATCTCTTAGTTCAGTCATTGTTTGACGAACAGTTGACTTATATTAAAAATGAATCAATAAATAAGCAAATACTTGTTTATCTCTAGCTTGTTCAATAATTTTTTAAAATTGTTCAAGCCATCCTTTTCATTTTGAATCAATAAAGTCATGTATTTGAATTAAATCATCAACTGTTTGATTTAAAATCGATAAAGTACCATTTGTTCTATATGGAGAACGATAACAACGTGCAACATCAATCAAACGAAATTCTTTCAATGATTTTGATACATCCTTATCAATACTTTTATTTAACTTACAAAATCTTTATTTATTTTCCAAAGATCAGACAATACTTTACAAGAATCTGGAACATAACGAACTCGATTGTATTAATCAGGTACATCATCACATCTATATTAATAAATATAAAGAAACAAAATATTTTCATTTTTTATTTTCGAATTTTGTTTGTTTAACCATATCGATAAATATCCTATTCAAATAAATTTATTTTCAAAACGTTTTTATAAGGATCGATTAAATTTATTTCCTTAGAAATTTTTAATCGATAATTCGAACTATTTTATCATTATTTCATCTTATAGAACGTTTCTATCTAGCAGTTAAAAACAGATTTTCGATAAAACACATTCGAATCAGATGAAATATTAATCATTTGTTAGCGATCGTTCAGTGGAGAGAAATAAATTGTGTCAAAACTGTTCAGGTCAATATAATGTTTCTAGAATAGATTATTAAAATAATAAATAATCTTCGTTGTCAATCTTTATATATAATAAGAGAATCAATATAGATTCATCTAAAAATCGATTTATATAATAAATAACGAATTTTGGACCAAATGCAAGGAGATAGTTAACTATTTAAATTAGCTTTGAAAAAACAATAATAAAGATTTAATATGAAAGTTTGGTTTTTTTAATTCTACGAATATGAAAACCATTCTTTCAATCCATTTAAATAATATAAAACGTTTGGTTAAATTTGAAAAATTCTTGTTAACAATTTGAATACTCTTCAAAACAAATGATATTTTATTTCTAAATAAAGAGTTTTTTTTAATGAAAAACAATAATATATAATTATTATCTTATCTCGACAATAATAACATAAAATAATTTCATTATAAAACTATAGAAAGATTTTTAACAAAAAAACATCAACAAAGGGTTAACTCAATTAAATTAAAATAAATAAATTGAATAAAATCTTATTTCTATCAATATTAGTCTAACCATTGAAATGATTTATTATATTAATATAAGATTTCATTATTTATTTAAGAGTTTTATTTATTTCAATAAATATCTTCCGTTCGTGTAATATATGTTAAATCGATCGAGTTATTTCGATTTCTATTGAAAATAATTTTTTGAATATATTATATCTTTCGAATATAATTTATCAGTTTTTTCCCCTCATTTCAATATTAAAAACTATTTTATTAAATCGAAATAAACCACATAAATAAAGATAATAAGTGAGATTTATTTTTATTTTTAAATAGAATATATCAATTCTATATATTATTTTATTTCTGAATCGCTAATAGAAATAAATCTATTAATATTATAATATAACTATATTCAATAGAATTGCAATTATAATCTGGCATGTGAAACCTCCTCCTTTTCCTCCTTTTTCTCAAAACATGTCCTCCTTCTCCTCCTTTTTACGCCGAAATCGAAATCCTCCTATTCCTCCTTTTTATCACTTAAGTTGTGGAATCAGTATTTTTAATATCTTAAACAAAAATATTTGGCGATTTTACAGTGCAGAAGATATTTGAAATGATTGAGTTTATTACTGCAGCAAAAAATGTGCTTTAATTTTCAACCAATATCAATCTTTATTTCGAGTTTTTGGCAATTTAGAATAGTCATCAGCATACAATAAACATATACAAATAGAAAAAGAAGTATACATATCTCCTGTGAAAAAAAGTAGGCAAAA